CTCTTACTTGGATCCGCAATCAAAACCCTTGGTAGCAGCAGTCAGGAGATTAGGAGATGGATTGCACCGGGAAAGTACATTGCCATGAAACGCTCCAAAGTACTGAGGAGTAATGATGTTTGAAGACTAAGGTGAATCTAATTGAAGCTGTGGTCTTTTCAATAACTTGCTATGCATCTGAGAGCTAGATAATGAATAAGGATGACAGAACAACAAGAAGAATGCTGAGTATACCATGAACTGATAAAAGAAGTGTTTTGGAAAAAGTGCAACCAGAGTGATCCTTGGAGGTAATAGCAAAGCTTTGTCTCACATACTTTGAACATGTTGTTAGGAGAAGCTATCCGTTGGAAAGGGACATCATGCTTGGAAAGGTGGAGGGTCAGTGAAGGAGAAGACCCTCAACAAAATTGATCAATATCAGTGTCTGCAATTCTATCACTGACTTGTAACATACTGTAGTTATGTTTCTTTCACTTCTAGGCTGAACATTCTGAAGGCAAGGGCCTGGTCCTATTTACCAAGCAGGTCTCAATGTTTTGGCCACGTCAGGATACTGGTGGTAGTAGGGGAGGTGCTGTTAAACTGCCCTAGGAAGTTATGGTTCCTCAAGCAGAGGGTGAATAGGAGGCTTGCAATGAACAAAGCTCTTTTATTCTTGTGTGTTAGCACAAGGATACCTCCCATATCTGGCCTCCGTTTGCAAGTAAGGACACGGAAGTTCACAGAGGTCAAGGCAATAGACCACAGCTGTAGAACAAGTCAGTGGCCAAGCATGGATCTTAGCACACATTGCTGAATCTTCGGAGTCAGGCCTCCCGAGCTTTTTAACCACACGAGGGCGCCAGAAGCCTGTTTGTGGGGAACTTAAGGCGTTGGTTGTGACTGCTCCCATGAGAGAGGCCTACTGTTCCGGGAGGACACAGACAGCTTGAGGAGGAGTCCTGGTAAAGAAGGGTTATGAGAAAGAGGTAAGAGATAGGAAAGTGGACTGGGATGGAAGGAGGAGATAGGAAGGGCATTTGTTGTGTCCTTGTCTGAAGAGGCAGGGCTAGAGAACAAGAGGGCTCTCCAGAAAGGAGGTCCATGACTCCTACATTCTTTTCAGTCTCACTCCAGGCCTGGAAAAGACCGGACATTCCTAAGTCTCCAGCAGGGAAACCAGGAAATTGGACCAGGAGGCCAGCCTGTCCCCATCCTAGGCCAGGGATTTCCGGGAAGAGCCCTGCTGTGCCTCACAGGTTCACCCAGTTCCTGACTTCTGAGTGCTGCTCCCCTCCTTAAACTCCCTTTTACTCCACCCTCCCAGGGCTGCACAAGAAATTGCAGTCCAAACTCCTGACCTGGCCACCGAAACCTGGCTCTCTTCTTAAGTTCCCTCAGTACATGGCAGCAGAATCCAAATGGTTCCTTGAACTCAAAACTTGGAACACTCTAATATCGTCATTTCTATGTCCAAGCCATCCTCTCACCTCCTCTCCCACGTCTCACTCTGTACCACTTGACGTGCCCACCATCTGCCACCTGGATTGTCACTTTTGTTTGGGCTCCACTGCTATTCTCTCCCTGATTATCCCTTCTTCATGTAGAAGCCCTAATGGGTCTTCAAAAATTATTAATCTGATCGTCCATCCCTATCTGCTGGAACCTTTCAATAGCTGGAAGCTTTCAACAGTTTCTCAGTGCTGTTGTATTAAGGACCAGGCTTTCAGCAGGCTCAGAAGTTTGTTCATGGTCTGGTCCTCCTACCTCTCTGGTATCATAGATACTCTTTTTCCCGTGTTGCAGCTACCCTGGCCACACTACGCCAGCCCTTTCATGTGCTGCTTCCTCTGCCCGGAATCTCAGCCCTCTGCATTGTTAACGCTTATTCCTTCAGCTCTCAGCTCCAGAACTGCTTTCTAAGGTCCACCTTCTCTGACCTCCCTGGCCCCGTCACACATATTACTTACTCTCCTAGCATCACACACTTCATTTGTTCAAACTGTACATTTGTATGGAGTTATTTACTGAATTTCTGTTTCCTCCATGAGACTAAGTTCCATCTCAAATTTTGCTCATTGAACATCCTCAGCCCCTTACTCTGTACCTGACACATAATAGGTGCTCAATAAATGTCTCTTGAATGATTAAGTGTTTATGTTGCACATTTCTATTTCTATTATCCAAGCCTAAGACTCTATCTTGTCTCATCTGGACCTTGGTGGCCACCTGACTTGTCTTCTACTTTACAATCAAGCCCCTACTAATCAGTTTCCCATTCCACAGATAAAGTGATACAACGAAAACACCAGTCAGATCATGTCACTCTTCCCTCTCCCTGTTTAATAGACTTCAGAGGCTTCCACTGGCCCTTGGACTAAAACCCAAGCGTCTGACTCCAGCCTTAGAAAACTTTGCATGGGCTGGCCAAATTCATGCCAAGCTCCGCCTCCCTGGTGAACCTTTCTTAATTCAACAAATATTGATTGCAAGCCTCTAATGTACCAGCCACTAGGGACACAATGGTGAGCAAAAACAGACTCACTGTCATGGGACTCAGAGTTCTGTAGTTCCTGGAACACACCTCTTCCCCACGCAGTCTGGGCTTTTGCACATGTTTTTCTCATCTGGTGCTTCTCACTCCCTGATATGGGTTGAATCACCTCCTCCTCAGTCCCACCCCATGTATATGTCGGAATCTCAGCTCTTGTGGCTTAGTGGTAAGGAGTTGTGCTGCAGGAGAAAGGTGGGTACGAGATTTGTTACCTCTTAAAAACCCACTGGAGGGTCAGCTCTGACTTGATGGTACATAACAACAATGCTTGTGCATATAGGTCTTGTCTGGAAATAGTGTTCATTACACTAATTAGTATTGTTGTACCATCAAGTTGGAACCGACCCATAGCTGACCCTCCAATGGGTTTTTAGAAGCAGTTAATCATACAGGAGATTGTCCATACTTCTCCCTCAGAGCAGCTGGTGGATTTGAACCACATGCCTTTGGGATTGTGGTGCAGTTTCTTACCACCTCCTCACTAATGTAAGATGGTGTCTATGTCTAATAACTTCTGAGTTAGAAAAAGGGCTTATTAGACAAAGAGGCACATAGCATACAAGATAGGAGGAAGTGAGGAAGAGCACTTCCACTTCATGTAAATGTGAGTCAGGGCTCAGAGGAGTCCTTCCCCATGAGAGGATCTGGAGGCTCTCAGTCCCTTCCCATCTCACTCCACCCCCAACACACTGTTCAGGCCCTGCTCAAGTTTCCCCTGGACAATACAAATAGAGGAGTGCTTGGCCATTAACAGAAAGGCTGGTGCCCTGAGTCCACGCAACATGGCTGAGAAGAAAGGTCTTTTCACAATTGAAAAGTTTACGAGCACAGTTCTGTTTGGACACATGGGCTCACCATGAGCTGAAATAAACTCTGGCAGCTTTTTCCTAAGCCACCTTTCCAACTCTTACGTAGCTATTTCCCCTTTGTTTAAGCCACTCCAGTAATACTGGTCCCAGCTCTTCTCTGCCGCTTCCTATATGCTGGCTCTTCTACCCAAAGCCCTTCTCTGCTTTCCTCTCACACTGGCTCCTCCAAGCTGCAGTGCTGTCAGCAGTCCTCAGGGACACTTTCCTTGAGTTGGTCTCTCCTTTTGTTATCCAGCTCATTTCTCTAGTTGTATCTCACAACTTGAAAATCCATGAATATTTCTTGTCTGGACTTTATAAGAGTTCAAATAATTTTGGCCACAGACAACATCAAATCCAGCTCACAGCGATTTTAACAATAAGGCAAGTTGTTCTCACCAGTTGTTGCAGCTCTAGAGGTAGAAATTATTTTAAGATTGTTAGATTCAGCAGCGCAAAGATGTTCTCAAGGTCCCGGGTTCTCCACACATGGGCTCTGCCATTCTTGACCAGGGTTCTGTCCTTGGGTTGGGTAGCAGGATGGCAGGGAATTCCAGGTACCACATCCAGAGCAGGGTCTTCTCATCATTATGAAATGTAACTATTTCTATGTAACAAACTATCCCAAAATTTAGTGGTTTAAAACATTAACTTTCTCACAGTCACTGGGGGGTTATAAATCCAGAAGTAACTTGGCTGTTGGTTCTGGCTCAGAATCTCTCAGGAGGTTGCAGCAGAGCTGTGGCCAGGGCTGTCTGTAGTCATCTGAACTTTTAACTGCAACTGGAGGGTCTGTTTCCAAACTTATTCCAGTAGCTGCTACCAGGAGGCTAGATCTGGGAGCTTTTCCACAGGCTGCTTGTGATACAACAGCTGCCTTTCATCCAGAGTGAGAAAGCAACAGAGGCAGCATCTGCAGTTGTCTTTTAACCTAATCCTGGAAGCAATACACCCAGACGCTGCTGTATTCTACTAGCCACTCAGCCAATCTTGATGCAATAACTACACAAGAGTGCGTATGCCAGAAGGCAGAGGTCATAGAATATCCAGGAGGCTAGCTACCAAATTCCCTCCCTTTAAAAGCTGTTCCCAAGAGCCTGCAGGGGCTTCTCAACGTAAGTGTTGGCTGGCATTGTGTCATGTGCCCATGCCTGAACCAGCCACTAAGAAGGGGTCTGGAGCCATTGCTTTGGGCTCATGACAAGCACAATTCACTCCTGAGATTAGGCCCACCTCCACTGAAGCACTGGATGATCTCTAGCAGGAAGACGGCCACCTGAACAAAATTACAGCAATTTGGGAGATGGCATGGCTGTTTCACAGGTAACCCCCAGGGTCAGAGACAATCACTCACTAGACTGTAAACTCCATGAGGACAGAGGTTACATCTTTCCCTTGAACAGCCTGCTGCCTGATATAGAATATGTAATAATATTTATTGAATGAAGAAATGAAACAATTCATTACTAAATTGGAAGGCCATTCATAGGGCAAGGGATCTAAGACTGACACTACCAGATGAGACAGATACCTCCAAGCTCCAGGCTCCATAGATTCTTAGAACTCAAGAGGCCAACTGTCCCACCTCCATGGCCAGCCCCAAGGACAGACAGGACTGGCAGAATTACTCTCACTTTATTTCTGGAGAAGTTTGATCAGATGCAATAACACTGATTCCAGGCGAGAGCAGGAGGCATGGGTACCCCTAAAGCAACCAGTATCCTGTAGCCCAAGGTATCCCCCATCTCCAGACCTGGGTTCCTTCTTGGTTACAGATAAATAGGAAGATCTCCCCAGGGAGCCATAGGGAGGGTCTGCCTCCTGCACTGCCCCTCAATGCAGAGGAGTCTGAGCACAAGCTATTTACAGTATTCACATCCACTGTACCCCACCAAACCAAGGCAAAATACTACAAGAGGCCTTCCCCAAGGGAGGAGACCAGAGAGGCTGTGAGTGTATGTGTGTTTATGGGGGGAGGGGGTGTCCGTGCGTGTGAGCACACATGTGCACTGGGGGGCGGGGTCAGGCTCTGGCCAAAGAGACTTCAGTCTATAAGGTGCAGATTAAAAATAGAGGACCCACCCCCAGGGGTCCAGGCCATTTCCGGCTTTGTTCCGCTTCCTTCTCCTCTGAACATCCTGGGGGATGACGAAGAGGAGCCCTCAGAGCTGCTCCAGGTCCAGTGCGACCCCTAAAGGACTTCTAGAGAGAAAAGAGGGAGAAGGAACCGTCAAGCTGTTGGGGGGGGGCCTGGGCAGGCCGCTGGCAGAGGTGGGGCAGGTCAGGGGAATCCAGAGTAGGCCCCTGGAGAAGGATGATGGTTCTAGCAATCAGGGGTCCTTACCTGTGATCTGTGGGGGCTGAACCACGGCTTTCTTGAGGAAAGCTTCTGCCTCTGCAAAGGGCAGCAGTGCCTCTGGTGTTCGGCCCAGACTCTTGTCCCCTGAGGGCCCTTTGGGGGAGAAGCCATTCTCCTGGTGTGATGGGAGAGGCTGAAGGCCATTCACCAGGGACCCTGATGACTCCTTGTTTGGCAAGCTGCGGATGGTGGGGGGCCAACACTCAGATACCTCACGTCCCACTAAAGTCCAGTACCCCCAGCTCCAACCTGCTGCCCCTGCTCAGTGTCCTGGAATTGAGAGGGAGCTGCTACCTCCATTGCATCTCCGGGGGCCCCAGCTCCTCTTTCTGCACAGCCTCCTTCTGCAGCACCGAGGGTCGAGCCTCCACAGCTTTCATAGGCTCTGTCACAGGGAAGGAATGTCAAGTAGGAACTAGTGACAGAGTGAGGTTAGGGGATAGCGATGAGGCGGAAGAGGGGTTTTACCTGGGCTGGAATTGTTGGCATTTGTCTCCTTTTCCTCCTGCTTCTGCTTTGAAAAGGAAAGGCAGTTAGTTAGGCCCAAGGGTAATCCAGACGCACTACCTGAGGCCCTGACTCCTCTCTCAGACCAGACCCTGAGCGGCCTCCCCTTTAGCCTCTTCTTTTTGACCTGGACGCCTTGCTCCAGCCTGCTTTCCTCTCCCAACCCCCATTCCCAACACTGTTTCTCAAAGGATCCAGACCTTGGTTTCTGCAGCTTCAGACTTCCGGGTCCTCTTCATGATCTCTTCCAGGCGCTGTTAGAGATCCACACCAGTTAGAGACAAGCACCGCCCTACCCTTAGATTTCCCACCAGGCCGGCCTTAACCCCCAAGTCTCGGGGCTCTCAAAGTTCAGGGCAACCTCTCCCCAGCCTAGAACTAGAACTCGCCGCAGTTCCACTTTCTCTTACCTCCTACAAGCTCAAGACAGGACCCTCTACTCCAGCAACCCCAACTCCGCCCAGCAGCGGGCTCTGCCCACTCCTGGGCCCGCCCCTTGCTGGTCCCGCCCCCCCCCCCGCCCTCCTCGTACCCTCCACACCGCACATACCTTTCTGCGTTCTTGCCGCTCCTGCTCCTCCCGCTGGAAGTGCTTTTCCCGTTCCAGTCGCTGCCGCTCCGCTTCTTCCCGGGACCGAGCTTCAGCCTCCTCTTTCTGCCAAAGACTGTTGTGAACTTTGGGCTGCAGGACTCCAGCCAGCCCCCGGCCCCGCGCCAGGAGGCGCCCGCACCCACTGGGGTCCCGCCCGCGAGGATTACCTGCTTCTGCAGCCGTTCCTGCTCCTCTTGCTCGGCTTGAGCCTTCTCGCGGGCCTCCTGCTCCTCCCGCCGCCTGGCCTCCGCCTCCCGCTCAGCGCGGGCCTCAGCCTCCCGCGCCAGCTGCTCCTCTCTCATTCGCCTTGGGGACAAAAGAAACCAGGGGCTCGACTGCGAGCTTCTCGCTGTCCCATAAAGGTCCCCTCAACCAGCTTCTGTGGGCGCTGGTGCACTCACTTGTCCCGTTCTGCCTGCAGCCTCCGCTCCTGCTCCTCTCGTTCCCGCTGCTCCCGGGCCTGGCGCCGCTTCTCAGCCAGGAGCCGAGTGGCCTCTTCTCGGTCTGTGGTTCCAGCCATGGGTTTGCTAGGGGTCACCGGGGGAGCAGGGGCTGGGGGTGAGATCAGGACAGCAGTACCTGGGGTGGGATCCAGGACAAGGAGTCAGCACACACAGCATAGGCACCTTTACCGCCCCAGCATGTCCCTGTGCTTCCAAGGTGAACCACCCATCCATCTGACTGCGGACATCAACCGGTGAGGTCCTCCCTCAGCACTGACTTGTTTGGGCCCTGGACCCGAAGAGCACAGGAGCCGCCTCTTCCTGTCTCAGGTCACTCTGGCCCAATCGCTGACCTACACAACCCACTAAACTGTCTCCTCTCACCCTAAGCCCACTTAGTGCTCACCTGCAGGGGTCTCTGCTGTAGTCTGCTCCTTCTGGACTGGAGCTGGGACTGGTGAGGGCACAGGTGATGGTGCTGGTGAAGCTGGGGCTACTGGCTCCTTCTCGTCACCTCCCTTGCCCTTGTTCTTGTCCTCAGGCCCAGTTGCACTGGGGCTCTCCTTTGACTCGTCCTTCCTCCTAATACGCCCCTTGGGGGATGCTGTGGTGCCTCGTGGGGATGGGGGCTTTGGGGGCAGAGCATGTCCTGGACCTGGGCTGGAGCTGGGACAGGGAGAGGCAGGCCTGTGCCAGGTGGTGGAGGGAGAGGATGGCCGGGCCTTGGATTTGGGACTGAAAGGAAAAAAGTGGAAAAGTGAGTCCTTGAAGGCACAAGAGAGCACCCCCCAGTTCAGTGCCCTGACCAAGTCATCTCTGGAAGCCAGCCTCCCCAGGCAAAGTCAACATCCCTCACCATATATGCCCTCACAGAAATATTCCTTTTAAAGCATATATCCCAGTTTGCAATTACATATTGGTTTGTGAGATTCTTTTAATGGCTGTCTCTCCAGTAGCCAGTAAGCTTAAAAACAGCAAGAACTGGGCCTACTTTTGCTCATCAAAGTGTCCTAGCATCCAGTTTCTGTCTAGTGCATGCATTCATTCAGCAAGTATTTACCAAGTGCCATTCACTGTTCTAAGTGCTAGGATACCTCAATGATGAAAACATTAAAATAACAAAAAAAATGTTGCTCTCAAGGACCTATCCTGACAAAGGTTTGTGCCAAGGAATGCAAGAGTGTCAACAAATAGTTCAACCCCGCCCCCTTGGTCCCCGCCCCCGGCAGGCCCACCTGAGTTCGGAGGCGGTGCCCGAAAGGCGTGAGCGAGGCGAGGCCGGCAGTGATTGGCGCTTCTTGAGGCTGCGCTCCCGGGCCAGGGCGCTCTTCTCCTTCTCGTTTTCTCGCTCCTTGTCCTTCTTCTCCTTTTTCTGCATCTGACGGTGCGGAGATACGGGAAACTATCAGAAGGATGCTGGGCTACCTGTCCCCACCGCCTGCAGGTTCGAGGTGGCCACTCACCGGCGAGGCCTCGGACCGCCGGCGCGCCGGGGCAGGACTGCCCACAGCGCTGGGCTTGCGGCGCTCCCCGCGCTCCCCTGCGGGGGCGCAGCGGTGCCCGCTCCGGGGGACGCTGCACGGAGTCAAGGGGCTGGCGGAGGCCGAGCGCGGGCACACAGGCACGGCTGCGGAGGGATGAGTGCGGTCGGGGTGCGGCCCCGGTGCAAGGCCGGCCCTTGCCCCGCCCCTTGCGGGGGGTCTCCCAGGGCCGCTGCCCCTACCCTGGTCGCGGCCATTGCGGGGCAGTGTAACCGCGCTGCGACTCCGTGCCAAGAAGGAGAGGGTGGGCGTCATTAGACGGTCCACAATGCTGCTCTCCCATGCGCTCAGCTGCAGGCTCCGATCTGGGGGAAAAGGTGAAGGGTATCAGGTCATATCTGTGGGCCACAGGAGGCAGGTCGAAACACAGGGAGCTGGTTGCATATGGCCTGCCAGGCCCAAGGGCTTTCACCCAGGAGTGTGCACCCCCATTCACATAGGGGCCACATTTGTCCACACTGGGGTCTGAACCTTTATTGCAGACTCGAATAACAAGACACTTCCCAATGCATCACTTGCATGCCTTGAGGGTCCTCTCCCACTACTCTTCCCAGGTGAAAGGACTCTGAGTCGTAAGTAAACGAAGGAGCCCCCAGGAATTGGTGGAAGACTCCACTATAGGGCTCTGTCCCTCTAGTTTTCAGAAAGACAGGTTTGGGTAGGAATGTCCCTATGGATTTAGGACGGTGAGGGTCCCTGTGGGTCTCTGATTCAGGAAAGGCCCAGCTTCTAGAAGTCCTCTGCCATAGAGAGGCAGCGAGGTTGCCTGACTGCCCCTAGACACCCTGTTCTGCCCCCTCAGCTGCTAGGTTATTTTTAAGCCTCAGTCAGGTGGAGTTGGTGCAGCAGCTGATTTGGTTGCTAGGCAACAGGACAACCAAATAAAAGCTGGAGGAGCTTATAAATAACTCCTACCATGGCTCCTTCACAAGAGCACTCGGGTATGGTGGGATTGCAGGGGCCGCACCATCCTGGTTGGTCACAACTATGGAACCAGCCAAGGCAGCGGCTGGTTCTGAAAGGTGGAGAGGACCCTCTGGAGTAGAGCCATAAGGGACCACACGGCCATAGACCACACGGGGAAACAAAGCCACCTGCTGGCTGTGGTTGGAAATGAAACTGCCTGCCTGTTCCCGCCCCCACCCCTGGCTTGTTCTGCAGCCCTGCCAGGCTCTGTTTGCTGGGTCACTGCCCTTTGTTCCTATCCTCCTCTGCAGGGCACTGCCGTGACCTCATCCAGACCCAAATGCCGGCTCCCCCGAGGGGCACAGAGCCCTGGGTGGGTAGAGTAGGGGTGGACACCTGCACTATATGGGGGCTTCTGGGACCTGGGTTTCCTGCTGCGTTTTGAAGGAGGCTTGGTGGGGGCTACAAGGTGCTCTAGCGGGGAAGAACTAGGCCTTCTCTTACTTCTACTGGGGGAGTTCCAGAGCGTGGCAGAGGACTTTGAGAGCCGCTTGTTGATTATAGAGTCCACGTGTTTGGGCAGGTTTACTGCCGACACGGAGCACCTGCTCCCACCTGGAGGGGAAAAGACACGGCATTAGGGCCGGGCCGGACAGGAGCCAGGGGGGGCACTGAGGCCTTCCATGCAGGATGCTCCGCGGGCAGGGTGGGAGAGGGAAGATTGGGTAGGCTAGGATGGAGAGGAGGGGGTAGACTTGGCCCTGGAAGGGACAAGATGGGGTGAGGATAGGGATGGGTGACTAGAGATAACCTGGGTTGGGGGAGCCGATGGGGGCGGGGGTGTGGGAGAAACAGAAGGAGGAAGATCAAACTAGAGAAACTACAGTCTTCCTGGCTAAAGGAAGCCATTCCCTAGGTCTGGGTACTATAACCCCCTTACCCTGGCCACACAGCACTGGCACTTTCTAACACTGTCCAGCCAAGGTGCTATGGATACAACACCCACGTCCTTGGACACATGCAGGATGGTCAGAGAACCCACACAGTCAGAGTCTCTTGCACAATACAGATACTCATACAGACGCACAAAAAGAAATACGTGCAGACACAAGCATATGCAGTGATAGATACGTATGCATGCACACATATGTGCAGACATGCACAGACACAGAAACACAAATACATCAAAGAACCTAATTATTATAGTTGTAAGATTTACCATTTGTTGGAAGCTTACCATGAGCCAAGCACTGTTTTGGTCCAAACACACGCTATCTCATTTGATTTTCTCAAACCTGGATCTACAACCTCAGTTGTTTATTGTATGGTAGATTTCGGCTCCTAGTGACCCCTTGTGACAGAGCAGAACTGTACTCTAGTGTTTCCTTGGATGGAATCTTTTTGGAAGCAGAGCTCCAGGTTTTTCTCTTGAACAGTTGCTGGGTGGGTTCAAGTCACTAACTTTGGTTGACGTTTCATCATTTGTACTACCAGGGCTCCTCAGAGGCAGGTAAAATTGTTATTCCCAGTTTACAGATGAAGAAACTGAAGTGTTGAGGCGCTGAAGGATTTCTCTAAGGTCCCACAGTCTGTCAGATACAGGATCCTAATTCAACTCTTTGACTCAGGAGACTTCAGTGAAGTACACAAGGCCACAAACACACCAAGGCAAACACATACAGAGACATAATGCAAGATTCTCAAGCACATACACCAAGACACACATCTAGGAAGGAACACTGAACCTTGCCATTACAGAAAGAGATCTAAACACAGAGGTATGTACATACATGCCAGTAAAGGATCAGACCAAAATCCATGATAACCCTATGTAAAGAAAACTCAGAGACAAAAGTCTACCCTCCAACACAGACACACAAGGGGTGACAGTTCTCAATTATCAAGTGCCTCCAGGGCATGAAGTCATTTTTCATATGTCATTAAACTAATAGTAATTGACAAGAGCAAGAAAAGTTAATCCTAAAATGACAGAGGTTTGAAGGGCAAACCAAAATGAAGAGAATCCATGTCTGCTGTGCTTGTGGAGATCCTTAGGAAGAACAATTAGATACAGAGACCATTCCAGAAGACACAGTCACATGAAGCCAGACACACCTGATGCAGGAAACCCCCAGCTCCTTAAGACTGAAGCTGCTCCCACCTCCGACTCCCCAGATCTGAGCCTCACTCACCTCCCCACCAGCCCCTCCACCCACTCACTGGTTTTATGTCCTGGTGAGCTATGGTGCAGAGCCCCCGCCCAGGACCAGCGCTGCTGCCGGATTTCAGCCCACGTCTTCTTCACAGACCGCTGGATGGCTGCTTCATAGCGCTCCTGAGGAGGGAGGTTGAGGTATAGACTCAGAATCATTCATCATACCTAGAAGAAAAGCCTCTCTCCCTCCTGTGACAGTGCACAAACCATCCTCCCACCAAAGCGTTTCCTGACTCAAGACAGGTACTCAAGGCTACCAAATCCTTGCTGTAATTAAGGACCATTTGCAGTAGATCCCTTCTGGCTTGTTTTGGGGAGCTTATCATTGTTCTTAAGTCACTTCCTGAGTGTATGAGTTGTTGCTCTAAAGATGGGGTGGGACTGCCCTTCACCTCGACACCCAGGCAGAACCATGTCCTCTTGACACCGAGGGTCCTGACCTTAAGCTAAGTTTTCCCCTCAGCCTGAAACCTCAGGGCTGGGCTGTCCACTGTTACCTCCATATCCTCACTGGTACTTAAATTGAGGCTCTGTCTCTGGGGCTCTATCTATGTCATGGATCTAGGCACATTCCCACAGACCCAAATATGTACAAATTCAGACACACAGGGCATGTATGCACACACACATAACTGAGAGGGCACACAGTGACAGGCATCCACATGGGCACATACACAGGCAACAGGTATGTAGTTGTGAAGATCCCCAGATATCATACGCATCTCTTTCTCTTATTGCTATTGAGGTTGGAACCAGTTCATAGATGACCATTCAGCGGGTTTATGAGGCTATAAATCACATGGAAGGAGACTGCTTGTTTTTCTCCTGTGTAGTAGCTGGTGGATTTGAACCAGAGAGGTGCAGCCTTTGGCTTAGAAAGCACAACATCCCATGGACTACGCCACCAGAGCTCCCTTATTTTGTACCTGTTGTTATTATGTACGGTTGAGTTGGAATCAACTCATAGCTGACCCTCCAGTGGGTTTTCAGAAGCAGTAAATCACACAGGAGGATACTGCCCATTTTCCTCCAGCAGAGCAGCTGGTGAGTTCAAACTGCAAGCCTCTGGGTTAGCAGGGAAGCTTCTTACCACTAAGCCAGCAGAGTTCATATTTCACAATCAGAGAAGTGAAGACAGATACATCATGGACACCCAGAAAATACAGGGCCAGGAAGACAGATATGTCACATTTGACCAGTATGCAGATGTGTGGGTGCACCCAGTCAGTAAGCAACACAAACGCACCTTGTTCTTCTCCAGCTTCTGCCGCTGCCGCTCCTCCAGGGCGGCTCGGCGCTGCTCGGCTTTAAGCCGCTGCTCCTCCAGCCGCCTCCTGCGCTCCTGAAGCTGCTTCTCGCGCAGTGCCTTCGCCTTCTCTTCCTTTTCCAGCCATACTGCCTTCTTGGCCGCTTTTGGGAAAGGAGCCCCAGTGAGGTCTGAGGGGTCTACAGTAGTTCTGACCAAACAGGTCTCCCTCTAGTACCCTTGCCCTGGCTGAGTCCATCTCCTCTCCTTTCCTCTAAGACTACCCCCACAATTTACAGGCCTTCTGGAACCTGGACTCAGACCTCAGGGAAAGGGCTTCCCTGAGGGGAGGCCTATTTCTCCCCAGTGACCTCATGGTATCTTAAGCGCTAAAGGAGAAGTGAGGTGTTAGGTCCACATGTTAAGTGGACAAATTTCCCTGTATGGAGGTAATGAGATTTGAGGTGAGATGTGACTTCTGGGTGTGAATCTTAGGCTCTTTTATGCCTGTGTGAAGCCAATGGCTTCATCTCTCTATGCCTTGCTTTCTTCATCCTTAAAAAGGCAATACCACCTCACAAGGCTTTTGAGAGGAGTAAATGAAGTACTGCAGGAAACTGCACTGCGTATGGGTGTCATTAGTAGGATTCTGCTGGTGGTGGGAGGAGGAAGACGGACATGTTGCTGCTTCCCACTCACCCAGGTACTTGGCCCTCTCTTCCCGCCGCTCCTTTGCCAGTTTGTGTCTCTCTCCCGTCTTCTTAGCATCTTGACAGGGGAAACAAGGACAGATTCAGGTCAAAGGGCCTACCAGAGGGGAGTCATCCTTGGTGACCTCAGTCCAAATCTCACCCCCATCTCATCTCCCCACCTCCTCCATGGTGAAAGGGAACCCCTCAAGTGGTGTTATGCATGGGGAGATATGAACCTAGGTGTTAGACCTAGAACTTGGCCAGCACACACACCTTGCTTGGTGGGGGTACTGTCAGAGGTTGGCACTGCTGTCGGAGATGGTTGGCTGCTCCTTCGTGGAGGCCTGGTGTCCCGTGGGCCTGCAGCTGGTGGAGTGGGTGCCCTGCTCTTCACTTCAGAGGCAAGAGACTCCTCTTGCAGGGGGACTGGCCCATGTCCAACCTGCCCCGGGGGACTCTCTGGATCCAAAGGGAGCTGCTTAGGGCTAGCAGGATTCTTCATGGCAGGAGGGGTGTCTGGGGGAGTATCTGGGATGAGGGATGACATCGGTGGTGGTGGCGGTGGCGGGAAGGGGTCACCTTCTGGAGAAGGTCTTGGCTCTTGTGGGATCCTGGCTGCCACACCTAGAAGACCAACACAAGAGGAGAGAGAGGGTCAGATAGCACAACCATGCATTCAGTTTAAACATAGCCTATCTCCCTTGTCCAAAGGACTTATTCATTCATGCCGGGAAGCACATTTATTGAATTTCTTCTTTGTATGAGGCAATATTCCAGACACTGAGGGTAAAATGATGAGAAAATAGGTATGGGTTGAGTGTTTCTGGTAAAGAGAAGAACATGGAGCATATGCAAAGGCCTGAGGAGAAAAGAAGGTGTATTAGAAGGACTGAGAAAAGTTGATGGCACACCCCCACCCCACTTTTTTCTCTATTTTGTTTCATGACATTGGTTTCAGTCCCCACACTATAACAGTACTGGTCCCTCTTTCTCTCTGGGTTCCTCATTTTCATTTCCCCCTCTTTATACTGTCCCTTCCTGCCTCCTGAGCTTTGTTTAGGGAAACTGCTGCCCTTTTTGTCTTGTGTGGTTGATTGTTCTGAGGAGTACAATCCTCTCTGGTGTTATTGTTCACTTTATAAGCCTGTCTATTGTTTGGCTGAAAATTTATTCTGGGTGGGGGTGTTTCAGTTTGAGGATGTAAGGTTGTCTAAGGCCTACACAACACAACCCTGCTTGCAGAAACTGAGGACCTGAAGGGTTTGCTGCAGAAGGTCAAGGACTATAGTCTTCAATATGGATTGAAGTGCAACATCAAGAAAACAAAGATTCTTACCACTGGGCCAATTGGCAGCACCATGATAGATAGAAAGAGATTGAGATTGTTAGCAATTACAGCTTGCTCAAATCCACAATCAACACTCTTGGCACCAGAAGTCAGGAAATCAAAAGACTAATTACATGAGGGAAATCTGCTGTCAGGGACCTCTCCAGAGTACTGAGAAGCAACAATATCAATCTAGAAACTAAGGTGTGCCTGATCCAGATGGTATTCGCAATTACAAACTCTGCATCAGAGAGCTGGACAATGACTAAGGATGACAGATGAATTTGAAGCCTCTGAGTAGTGGCACTGGAGAAGAGTCTTGAATATACAATGGACCACCAAGAAAACAAATAGATCTGTCTTGGAGAGGGTGAAACCAAGTTTCTCCTTGGAGGCCGGGATTTTGAAGCTCCATCTCACATACTTTAGACACGTGGCCAGGAAAGACTGGTCCTTGGAGAAGGACATCATGCTCAGAAGGGTGGAGGGACAGCGCAGGAGAGGAAGACCCCAGATGAGGTGGATTGATACAGTATCTAGGGCAACTGGGGTAAGGTGTGTCAGAGTCAGTGCGACTGGCTCCAGACAGGGCAGGCTTCAGAGGTATTGTATATAAGGTCGCTATGAGTCTCAGGTGACTCATAACAACAACAAGGGCTACAGTCTCGGGGATTCTACTAGTCTCTATTAGACTATTAAGTCTGGTCCTTACTATAATTTTTTTCTTCTTCTAAATTTCCTTTCTCCCCATACTATCCAGGAGCTTCCATTGTGATCCCAATCAGAGCACTGAGTAGTTGTAGCTGGGCACCATCTAGCTCTTCTAGTCTCAGAGTGGTGACGGCTATGGCTCACGGACTCATTAGTCCTGTGGACTTAGTGCTTCCTTTGGTTTTCCTTACCTTTTCCTCAGAACAGTGATTGGCCAACAGTTGCATCATACATAGAGCTTGCAAGATTTTTAAGACTCATTACAATTCACCAAGTGGGATAGAGAACATGATTTTTGTGGACTGTGTTGCATTGTGGCACTTAACAATGGTAGTGATTTATTTTCCTGTCTGCCTCTCTCACTTGGGCCACAGTACCCAAACCCTGTCACATGAGGAAAGACATAAAGGAAGGCACAAGTGGGCTGCCTGTGCTGCTAAAATCACCAAGGGATTGGGCAATTTTGTAACAAATCCCTCTTTAAAAATGTCTTCAGATATCAGTATCCCAGAGACCTGGAAAATGACCCCAAAGTACCAAGTAAGATTGGTGTGCACATTTGCTGAGTGCACACGTGCACTGTGGGAGAAGTGAAAGGCAAGCTCTGGAGTCAGTTGGAGAAATGAGGGCTTCAATTCTGATCTCACTACGCCAAGACAGGAAGCGAGGGCTTCATAGCCAAGCAGGTCGCTGTGAATAAGAGAGTCAGCCATCTAAAGCGGGAATGATGGGCCCAAGTTAGCAGAGACCAATGTAAGTAAAGCACCTGGCATAGTATTTGTTGTGAATTCATATGCTGCAAACACGCCCCTCCCTTCCCTGTGAGCCTTAGGAAGCTGCCAGGTTTCCCAAAGGGAAGCCTCTGCATTGAGCCCTGGTGACACAGACATAGACCAGGGCTTAGGGAGCAGGGCTGGGTCCGTGGGAAAGTGTACCTAAGGAAGAATTTTTTTTGCTCTTGGGGAGTGTTTTCTGTAGCTCTGTGGTGAAGGCATTAGGCTTTGAAGCAAAAAAATGGCAGCTGGAACTCTGCAGAAGAAAGATGTGGCAGTCTGTTTCTGTGACGAGTTACAACCTTGGGAACCCTATGGGGCAGCTCTACTCTGTGCTACTGGGTCACCGTGAGCTGGACTGTACTTGATGGCAGTGGGTAGGTGGGTTGGATATTTCCCCTACACTGGGTTCTCTTCTCTGAGAGCTCTGGTTGCTTCAAGAGGTGGCAGCTGTCCATCACTGTGGGTGACAGTTATGGGTAAGTGTTGGGGGAAGTGACACACCTCAGGAGCTCTGCTTGCGACTCTGGTTGCCTCCTTCAGAGAGGCAGAGGGAATCTACCAGTTTAGGCTCTGAAGTCACACTATCTGGTCATGAATCCTGACTTCCCCTCAGGCTAGTTACAGACCCTTCCTGGACTGTAGCCTCTTCTCCAATACAGCGAGGGTAAAATAGTACTAACGTCACAGGACTGTGATGGGTATCAGTCATAACAACAACCTTTAACATTTAGATATTTATAAAGAAACTTCCTATGTTCAAAGCATTTCAGACATAGTTAGCTTTTTCAAATCCTCACCAATAATACAATGAAAGACTCAAGTGATTGCTGCCAAGTTAGAGCCGACTCCCCTTCTCCCCTCTGTTGGGTTTCTGAGGCTGTGGGAGATTGCCCTTGAAGATGCTGGGACTCAAACTGCCAGAGACGTGTGGCCTTTGATTTAACAGTACAACTGCTGATGAATTACACAGCCAGAGCTCTCAATAATGCATTTTAAGGAGGTGCTATAAACATGTCTTTTGTAAAGATAAGTAAAGGGGAGAAGAGATTAAGTAATTTGGGATCATCAGCTAGTAAGGAAAGGAGAAAATCTGAACCCAGGCGTCTGTCACCAGAGCTCAGGCTCTTCCTCTTTATACTCTTCTGTTTAAGGGAGCTCTGGAATGAAGTAGCACATTATGCAATAGAATCATCTAAGGCCTGCATTATTTTCCTCCCATTCTTTCCCTTCCTGTTCTGTGGGCTCCACGCAAAAGCCTCAGCTAAGGTCCTGCCTCTTCAGTGGCCCCTCCAACTCTGTCAGTCCCTAGACTCTGTGACAGTCCAACCAGCTCTCCCTACACCAGATCAAGACAGCTGCCTGACTAGTGCCAATTTATTTCCCAGCCAGCTGCAAACTCCTCTGCCAACTTTAATGGGCAATAAAACTAGTGGCTACCCTTTAGTGAGTGCTTACTGTAAGCCAGAAGCTGAGGTAAGCCCTTTGAATCCCCATCCAGAAAACTCTATCTCAAAACTCTGAAAGACAAAGCGTATCCCCATTACACAGATGAGGCAATTGAGGCTCATCCTGCTAAGTGATTTGCCCAGGGCCTGGCTCATGACGGAGTCAGGATTTGAACTCAGTACTCTCTAAGGACAAAGCCTGGGTATTAGCATTAAATTTGAATGCAGAGGGCGAGGCCTGTTTATCACTGTTCTCCTAGCATTGTGTATGCTGCAAGTGTTACAAGGAAAACTGGGAGGCAGCTGCTGGTCTGTATCTAGGCAAATCACACCCACCAGGCAAGACAGTGACTCCCCAAAGAGGTCCCAATTAGGCCTTTGAAAGAGATCTGGAAGAGGAAGAGAGAATGAGGTCTAGAAGGACTTATACCTCTGGATCAGATGCAGTGGAGTACAAAGGCTTTAGGCTTCAAAGTCAAGCAGGCCTGAATGGGGATCCCAGCCAGTTCTGCTGGGGAAGCCTTGAACCTGTCTGAGGCTCAATTTCCTCCCTGAGTTGTTGTGACAGACAGCAAGTAGGCAGGCCATCTCAGGCATTGGCAGGGATTCAACAAGCACCAACTGCCCTAAAGACTCTGTCTATATCTCCCATCTCTGCCACAAGAACCCACTTCAGTCAGATCCTCACCCCTGCTCCTCCACGGCACTGTATTCTCCAGGTTACTCATGACCTCTACTTTGCTAAATCCAGTTGCCATTTTTCCTTCCCATGGTACTTGACCCATCAGTAGCATTTGACACCAGGGGTACCAGATGCTCCTTGAAACACTTTCCTGGGTGCTTCTTGTGAAACACTTTCTTCACTTGGCTTTGGAAACAACATGTTTACCAGATTTTCTTTCTACCTGGCTGGCTCCTACTTCTCGCTCTTCTTTGCTGGCCCCACCTTAATTTCCTAACCCCTTAAGCTGGCATGCTCTAGGGCTCAGTGCAAGCCCTCATCCCTTTTCTGTCTGCATTCCCTCCCTTGGTGATCTCATCCAGACTCATGGCTTTAAATACCATCCCTTTGCTGATGACAACCAAATGTGCTCCAGCTCAGACCTCTCCCTTGAATTCTAGTTTCATTCATGCAACTCCCTACTTGCCAACCTTGGGTGCCTAAGAGTAACTAACACATCTAAAACATCAACTCTGATCTTCTAAACAAACCCTACTCCACCCCAGTGTCCTTTGTTTCAGTTAATGGTTTCCCATCTTTTCTGTTTCACAGATTGTTTTTCCGATTATTTTCTTGTCTCATACCCCACATCTAATCTCTTCACAAATCCTTTGGCTCCATCTTCAAAATATATCCAAAGTTCA